TCGTTATCAGTAACGGTTTCGTCGCCTTCTCAGAGGAAGCGAAGGAGATCCATCAGAGGCGGGAGGAGACGGTTTTTATCGGTGACGCTGTCGTCGATTAAGAATGGTGGTGACGGGAGCGATGAAGAGCCCGGTGAGGAGTATTCAACGACGAGTAGCGTCTTGGAGAAAATTGGTGGAAAGAGTGGAGAGTCTAAGAATGAGGGTGGGAGTGAAACTGTGGCGTTTGTGGAGGTTGTTAAAGAAGAGAAGGGAAGGCTGCACGGAGGTACTCTGAACACTGCTAAGCATCTTTGGGCTGGTGCTGTAGCTGCTATGGTCTCAAGGTTTATTTATGTCTCTCTCTTTTTCTTCGTTGCGTTCATATATATATATGTATGATTTTTTAAGAATGTTTATTTTCCTTGCGGTAATATTATTTCGTGAATATTCTGTCCATTTGCCATGGTAAAAATATAAAATTTACAAGCTCTCTCAGAATTTCACTTATCCTTTTGCAATATTCAGTATACTCCTAGCAAGTTCTTCAATGGTGGATTTGTATTCTGTTATTATTGCAATTAATTCTCTTAAGCATAATTAATTTCATGTCACAGCTAACATGTATTCAAGTCCAACCCAGCACACAGTATCTATGAATCAATAGTCTATTCTAACATGGTGCAATCTTAAGAGTCGTTACTTTTTCATATGCAAAAATGAGTGCTACTCTGCTATTTTGGTTAAAAATCTTGAAATTAATATAGCAGAGCAGTCCAAGCCGAAGCTTAGCTGAAATCTTAGCCGATCTACTTGCCAGCCAGAAAATTAACCTTGCATGAATTTTAGTTCAAAACAAGTTTGATTCTTACTTCAGCTTGAATTTGGTTGCCCTCTACTCCAACAATATCCCAGTTTTGAAGATTTAGAATAATTAGCATGTATTCCTTTGTACCCAATGATCTTTGTAGTCTATACATTAGATTAATGACCATATATGTGTCCTTTCTAAGATCTTATCTTCTGAGTTTTTTTTTTTTTTTTGAATATTAGGTGATGTGTTATTGTGGAAAATCTAGAACGGACTGCTCATAAAAATTAGAGGATAATGTAATTATGTATGTCAATTGATCGACACGCCTTGCAGGAGTTGAAAATTTCCCAATGCTGATAAGCCCGACAATAACAGTTTTAAATGCAATGGTCACTAAATCCTAGTGCACTTTGTCCTGCATCCTTTCCATTATTTACAATATTCCATAACCATTTGACTTGAGCAAATATGTGAAAAGAGAGAATTACTAGCTCGAGTTATTATGTCTTAAGTTGACTCATTTGTATGGGGTTTTTCATTGCTGAGATTTCTTTTATTTTGTTACTAAACATCAAAATGATGGTGTAATTTCATTAAGAGTAATGCTATGCATAGTCGCTCACTGCAGCAGTATGTGCCACACGCATGGCATATTGTTATTTGATGCATTAATGTGGTAGTTTTTTGACCACATTAATGCATTAAATTCACACTTGACATGTGTGTGCCACATAGGACGACTGCTGCAGTGAGCGACTGCAAATAACATTATTCTTTCATTAACACGAGGAGATCAAGAGATGGTTTGAGGTTGATGCATCCCCTGCATTGCCGATTCTCTTACACTATAAATGAATTTTTTCCCCCATCTTGCTGTGGTTTATTGAGATGGAAAAGTTGATGGAAGGTAGGAATGAGATTGGCTGGAGACCAAGGGACAGATAGAGGTATATAGGTTAGCTTCCTCTACCAAATGGATACTCTTTTAATCCTCATATATTCACGTTCTCACCATAAAGTTGTATGAACTATAGTTATGTGCCAACGGTTAGATCTAAGTGTGGCAAGGTTAGAATTTTGTGAGCTTCACACAGATTTACTTAGGGCACAGCTGTTCTGTTTCTGGAATTGTTATTCATAAACTAGCTCATGGTACATGTGAGGTACACTCCATCTTTCTTTAGCAGGTGTGTGACAAGTATGCATAGCT